TTCATGTGATGAAGGTGTTAGTAGCATGATTGGGCCTGATTGCCCTCCAGGTATAGATAGACAGAGCAATTTAGCTGTGGTTCATAGCTTGATGCACCCAACTTTCGACTGATGAGTCATAAATACACAAATCACCCCCCCCCTTTATTGATGTACTAGTTGAACGGGAAAATACAACAGGAAAATCACACTGTATTTATAGTCAGCTAGGCTAGCGGATAATAAACAGTTCTGGTTGGTTGTTTGTTGATAAATTGAACGTTAAATCTTGAGATTATTTCCTGACCACAACGTAGGCTAAATTCAGATTTGAGAAATACACGCTTCTACAACTGTAGCCACCATCTTCAAATGTTGTTTTCAATTCTGACTGCATCTTACCATTAATCTTCATCTATACATATATGATAGAACCGAGCAGAAAATAGTATATCATAGTCCTTTCTCACGAATTGTGTAGTTTATGTTGTGATGGTGTTATACTATGTGAATGTATCATTTCTCACGCATATTGTGATTTAGTGTGTGAGATCAATTCATCGTCCTTTATCTCACCTTTGCCTTTGTTGGAACACCAACCAATCAGAATAGACATTTACAGACAATAGGATTAGTCCATTCCCACGGTTGTGAGCCAACTGTATTGTGATAAATTAAATATATAAATATGATGTTTTGTATCCTAGTTGATGTACAATAATACAATATCTTACAGTCACACGCCAGCCTTTACCTTTTGATATTTGCGTGGCTCAGTGTGAATCGGAAGGTACAATGGACAAGTAGCAGACGTATTAGCGTACCAGTCGAGTTCATTATCGTTATAATAATTAGCAGGTGCAGACATAACAAAGTAGCAATGGATTTTTCCAGTTTAGTTCAGTTATAACAATACACTACTGATAAATCTTGTCAGTAGTACACACCCCACTAGTACTAAATATCATGCAGTAGATGTGGTTCATCTCACGTAAACTGTGATAAGGGGTGTTGACTGAAGTTACATTTTCAGATAAAGAATAGTTTGTGACGATGATGCTTACAGCTCAGATCACTAAGCTGGTTAGATATGAAGATATTTTACAAGACAGTATTTTCTTTTTTTTTATACAAATCTAGATTGACTGATCACAAAAGACTAATCAATACTAGAAGCTGATTGGTTCGCGGATATTTCATATGAAACATACGAAAGTATTTGGTATATGGGGGATAATGGGTAAACATTGACATAGGAAAGGTTTTTTCGGACTTGACAGGTTGGGTGTGAGGACGAACACTCGACACCGATGACATTGGCTAGTTGGAATTCATGAACTGGCCATCGAGGAGTGGGGTCCCAATCGTGGCTAAAAATGGTCTACTAGCTAGCTCACCTTGTAAGCGGAAGGTCCTAGGGTTCAGACCCTGGCAGCAGGGTAGGTGTATACTGATGAAGAATCACAAACTAGGTTGACGAAACAGTACTCGAGTGGTGGTCTTCCAATAGTTCTCGTGACAAATCCTGTAACCAATCAAATCCCTGCAAGTCAACAATCGAAGTTGGAAAAACTATACACAACATCATATTTAGCTGAACCCATTTGAGATAAGAGGTGAAATGTACGTAAAGTTTAAAATATGAGGAAGAAAACTATTTACAGAAGGAATGTAAAATGTTGTGCAGTAAAGACTAATTGTAATTACTGATTCTGTTCGCAGTCCATTGTGTACTCTATTCTACTTTCTAACTTAGCTTTCAGTTCTCTAGTACAATCAATTTTATAGTGAACTTCTGTTGATTTGATAGTGCACTTTCTCATGTGTTTCTTACAGAATAGCGATGATAATAAAAATATTTCAAATATAAGTATAAAACTTGGTCACTGTGGTACAGTGTAACTCCATTGTGGATAAAATTTTATTTTGATAAAGTGTCACACAGTGTAGTGTTATACAGTAATATTTACTGAAGACCAAGTTTCGAGCACAATTTATTGCAACTCATAACCATATCAAGGTACTCACACAACTTTCTTGCTTCATTTATATACATAAGTAAAATTGATGATTAGAGATTGGAATAAAATCAATATAAGATAAAGTACATTCGGAAATAATAATATTAGTGCTATCAATAAAATGCAATACGATGTTTTTTACAGTAAAAATAAGTAACTTGTTAGAATGATATGATGTATGTGAATTGAAATAGAATTTTAAGATTATTTATTGTCCTCCTCTGATTTGACTGGTGGTAATAATATCTTCTATATCTCTGGTATTTGCTTTGAGTCACTTCTATCGCATGTGTTGGGTGTAGATTATTCGATGAACCAGACAGGATATAGTAATCAACGTCTCTCGCTCTCCACCACCTATATTATTTTTTAGAATTTTGACTCTGTCCCACCCACCCTATTGTGTGGTTGTGTGTTAATGCATCCAGTGCGATTGCTGAGTTTTTCTCTAAATTACTCATCTGTCTTCGTGGGGTCAATCACTCTAACCTTAGGTAAATTCATATTTTCTGATAATCTCACAACACCTTATCTACTAGTTTGACCTTTGCAATTGACCTCACAGTCATTAACACTAATATCATTTCTGAATGTACTTTATCTTATATTGATTTAATTCAAATGTCTAATCATCAATTTTTACTCATGTATATTAATAAAGCAAGAAATTTACGTGAGTGACCTGATATGATTATGAGCTGCAATAATAATTTGTGCTCGAAACGTGGTCTTCAGTAAATATTACTGTATAACACTACACTGTGTGACACTTTATCAAAATAAAATTTTATCCCTAGCGGAGATATGTCAAATACTTGTTTAATAGAGAAGCTGTACAATTTTCTACTTGAGATTCACATCTTCTAAAACAGGAAAGCAATGGTAATATAAATAACATAAAGTATCATGATATGCTCTCAGATGATAAACACCTTCTCGGCATCATAATACAAAAATGTGAAATTCACCTCAGAACACGGGAAAAGAATGGAAATATGGAAGCAAAAGAAAAATAAAATGAACACCACAACCGACACGTCAAATGCCACACCAAACAATTGATACTGTGAAAGGAAAATTGTATCGTTGGACTTGAACTGTGCACTATTCATCATACAGAGACGTAGGAAAAACTAGTGAAAGTAGTAAACGGCTAATTAAAATAGAGTGACGTCTGTAGATAATTTTACAGGTTGTGAATAGCAGTTTTACAGACTCGAAGACAGACACTAACACCGCCAATCCTCCTCCTAACTGCTTGAAAACACCCTGACAGCAAAACAAATGAAATTTATTTATGTGTTGGTTTGCAGGGATTTGTTTAGTTACAGGATTTCATCATGAACCGACATCGACTGTAGGGCTATTGGAAAATAAGCACTAGAGTACTGGACAACTAGCTGTTTTGTCAGCCTTGTTTGCAACTAACTCGTTAACAGTATACGCCCACTGAGGTTCAAACCCAGGACCTTCTGGTTACAATGCAAGCTAGCTCGTAGACCGGTAAGCCACTACTGGGAAACGATCCAATGGTCAGCCCATGAATTCTAGCTTCTGCAAGTTTACGATATGGCGCGACCACCAGAGAATGTCATCGCTGGCGGCGAGTATTTGTCCTCACAGCCAACCTGCTGTACGCCACTGGCCATGAATTCCCACTAGAATCTAGGTAACTACCTACGTGAATAGGGCTAATCAATAGGCATCATCAGATTGATATTCAGGTGCTGGTTTGCAGGGATTTGATTCGATTGATTACAGGATCTCATCATGAGCTGACACCGGTTAAAGAACCCAGCATAGAGTACTAAATAGCTATTTCGTCAGCCTAGTTCGGGATTCTTCAAATTTAATGAAAATAATCTTGGCTATTTAAGTGTGAACTCTTACGTTGAAAAGCCAGTTGAGTTCAGATAAATTTCCTTGATCAAGTTTACAAATGCAATTACTAAGTTTAAGCGGTATACATACTATAATTTACTGTGTGTTAGTGTTAAATGTCGGAAGTTGATCAGTTTGACCAGGTAAATGGGAAAAATCTCAAACACAGATACAAATACCTGGTGGCACAACAGTTTGCAAGCGGCTACTATCAATAGAGGCATGGATGGAGTCTTGATTTGATGTGTGCTTTTGGATGAATTATAGGATCTAAAACAATTTACTAATTTTAAACTACATTTAGTCATGAATCTACGCCATTAGAGAATCATTGAGAATCCAGGAGCAATGAACAGTAGTTTCTCCTGTGTGTGACGACGAAGCCACCTGTGGTCGAATCTAAAACCTTCCAGATCACCCAGCGTGAGCCCATTGACTACTTTACTACTATTGCGGTCAGAATCTAACGACCCATGAATTTTAATATTTGTCAATTCACCACCTCACAATTTTTGGCGAGTAACTGTTTTTTCTCAGGCCAGACTTAACCTGACACACACTACCAGTTAATATTTCTCGTTAAAACTTCAAAGGTGACAATCTCATAAACAGCCGCTAATGAATAGTGGAATATTCAAGTATTAGTTTGTAAGCATTTGGTTGATTGGTTACAGGATTTAATCATGAGCTGACATCAGTTAGAGTACCATTGAAAAACCTGGGAGTAATACCAGACAGCTGTTTCGTCAGCCTAGTTTGGGACTCTTCATCAGTACGCACCCACTGGGGCTCGAACCCAGGACTTTCTGGACACAAGGCAAGCTAGCTCGTAGACTATTAAGCCACTGGGACCCTACCCAATGGCCCATAAATTCCAACTTCTGCCAATTCACCACATAGCGCGACCACTAGCCAATGTAGTGGAATAGTTGCGCCGTTGGGATTTGATTGATGTCATGGTAGATTTCGTTACTGTTTCAGTTTAGAGGCGAGAGAGAAAGAGATGCATGGCTTCAATTACTAAAAATTACAGTTCACATTTAGCTAATAATGAAACTAGTTTTGAATTACAATTTGAAAAATATTTCAGTTGAATAGAAAAAAAGCTTTTTAACTTACAGTTTTGATCTGAGTCTTCAATTAAAATGCGTAGTTTTTGAACACATAACTAGATATAATAAATGGAAGAATTCAGAAAAGTTAAATTGCAAAATAAGGTAAAAGGCTTCCTCACACAATACAAACTTTTATTATGTAAGTTGAGGAAAACATTTTGATGAGTTGAACGTTTTTGTTATGTAAGTTTTTAACCAGAGTTTTCCACTTTACAAGTTGATTATCTCTCTCGAATGAGTTGAAGAGACTATTCGGAAGGAGCTCCACTAGACAGGTAGAGTGTATAATTATTTGTGGATACCGCAGTGCACAAGACACAACTATATCAACTGAATTATACGAAGTAATTCGCTTACCCAAAGCAGTCTTTCATCATAGGTGTTAGAGTTCTGTGGCATAGTAAGGCGAGCAATATTGATGCTAGGCTTCAGTCAAGTGCTCGGTAGGGAGGGAAAATCAATAGACGAGGCTGTGAAGTCACACCGATTGAGAGAGATGGTTAGGAAATGTGTTACGCGTGTCTAGCCATCGCCTTCCTCAACGGTCAATGTTAGCTGACATAGGATAGATCAGGTTGGAAAAGAGGCAGTGGTGAGGTCAGACGAAGACATGGCATCAGTCAATTAAAATTACAACATTTAGTTTAAGTCAGCCACGTAGGGAGGCGTAGAATTCTTGTCTAGTTGGGGTCCCCGGGATGGTAAAAACCAATAACTGGAGACAATTAGTGATATGGCTGAAAATCCATTTCAGTGACAGCGCAAACGTATGCATTCACTCTTTGTGATACGTCAGTCATATCCAATAAGAGTCTATTGTTCTACCATATTACTATTCTTTTTCCCTCATATTTCTGTTTATTATCGCTCTTTACTCTGTTCTCTTGCTTTGTGTGCTACAAGCGGGGAGAACTGCTGAACATCTGTGTAAATTTCTATGTTGAAACCAGTTAGTCAGTCAGTTAGCTTACCCAAAGATATGCGATGATTTAATGAAACATAACATCTAATTATTCCCTGACTCGAATTCGCCTAGAAAACTGATATAATAATAATAGCTTTATTGCAAACAGTACTTTTGATACAAATATGGAATTTTCAGCATGTAATACGCTATTGCATTTAATTTTCTCATTACGTGGAGCATTTACATTAACCATAATTTACATTGATCATATTGTCCAATAAGGAATGAATATGAAATTGAATCAAGTGAAAATATTAGCGACAGTGTAACAATGAGAACAAAAAAAACAATGCCGTTTACTTAGAGTTCCTCAGTAAGCTGGTAATTTCCTGCCTAACACACTATTCTCATCACATATAATATGTCCCGACCAAACAAGGTATTGTAGAGTTTTATACTTAGTCGTCCGAGAATATAGTCTTCTATATAAATTATTTAAATTAATCCCAGTGTGTTTAAGAAAAAATCATAACAAGATTTTCTTTTTCTCTATCATCTAACATCTCCGCACTGTCGTAGGCCACGTTTACCCGACCTCTCAGCAGCGTCCTCAGAACCACTACCTTCTCCGTTGAATCCTTGACGCTCACCAGCTCAGTGAAGGTATCGAAATCCCGTAAGTAGCTCCTGATGTTTCTTCCTTCTAAAGCAACCAGCCATGGGATTTTCACTGTCTGAAGGCGGCGGTTCCGAATGTAACAGTAGAAGACAGGGGACTTGGCAACGGAATGTTTATTTGGAATTTGATATATCTCCCTCTATATAGGGAAATTATGTGTACATCTCATATGAAAATCGTTACTTGCACAGATCTTTTGTGTTGTGCTACTTCTGCCCTTCTGAAATAATGGAGAAGATTTGTAGCTCAGGTGGATGTTATTGAATTAGTTGTGTTCTCTGAGCTGGTTGATTAAATTGCGAAGCTTTCTTCGTCCTTCTAGACAACATCTTCAGTGAAGGTTTTAGTATACTCTCTTCAACGTCATATCTATCTCTCCACTATTTGATATTTCGTGGCAATGAATATCTCTTTATATACTACTGATAAACTGGTCAGTAGAACACGCCATAGTAGTAGTATTTTTCAACATTATGAATTTAAATATGACATCAAAAGAAAGTGGGTTAAAACTAATTTGAGATACGTCTTAGGATTACATTTTAAAAATTCTTAAAAATTAAGGAAAGCGCCAAGTTGTATAATTTTACTCACCTGTATCGACGCTTGGTGACTAGGAATTCCAGAAGATATTGAAATGAGTACTGTAAATTGAAAAAAGTTAAAAAATAAATAAATTTAAACATATAATAGTAGGGATTATTACATTCGACTTTTACAAATAGAAAGAATTAGTGACCAGCTGGGTACAGCAGATCGGGTGTGAGGACAAATGCTCGCCATCCATGACATCGGCTAGTGTGGTGATCGCATTATATCGTGCACGAAATGACAGGAGTTGGAATTCATGGACTGGACATTGAGGAGTCGAGTTCCGGTGGCTGAATAGTCTACGAGCTAGCTTGACTTGTGAATGGAAGGTGGTGGGTTCAAACCATGACAGTGGGGTGGATGCGTGCTGGTGAGGAGCACCAAACTAGACTGACGAAACAGCTGTCTGAGAGTACTCCCAGGTTTTCCAATGGTACTCTAACTGATGTCAGCTCATGATGAAATCTTGTAGTGAATCAAATCCCTGCAAACCAACACTTGACACAGTAAGTCTTAATTTTTGCAAAGCAGCAGACGACTGGCAGCCTATTTATAGCATGACTAGAATATACCAATTAGGTATTATTTTGTCAGCGTCTTCACTTAGAAGGATTATATAATCTGCATATTCTAAGTCAACGAGATTATTCCCTCCCTGGTAACAAGTCAATCCCTGAGTCACTGAATTCAGTTAGGGTTAAGTCCATTAGTACATCTATGATGAAATTGAATAGAAACGGGGATAATGGGCATCCCTGACGGACACCAATAGTTGTCACTACTTCAGATGACAACTCTGTAACCTTTTACCTGGCTGCATGAGTTCGAGTAGAGTGCCTTGATCAGTGCAATGTATTGGTCAGAATCTTGCCGAATCGAATGTTTTGCATGAGATTCGCTCCTATCGAGTGGAAGATGATGAAACTACAGGACTAGACTGAACTGGAATACATCGACTCACCGCTAGCTTAAAGATACGTAGGCAGGAGTGAAGTGATTGGTGGAGTATATTGAACACCACTTATTTGAGGGGAAGTTGCATCAGCACAATCAGTGAGTTGATTTGTTCATTGACGAAATCTCACACCAGATACATAAGGCTTGTTTGGCGTTTGCATGCCAACTCACACCATCTCTGCCTTAGTAGACCTGATATCAATCCGGCTGGCTGGCTGACTAGAGGTCGACTAAAGGATCTGTGTACTGGTCAGGCTCAGTAATCACTTCGCTCCATCCTCCTTCATGGCTAGCTGGCTGGCTGTCTTTTATCATAGGTATCTGCCTGTGTTCTATCTCCTATTTTAGTAGGTGGTAGTATTATGATAGAGTGAGTAATATTGAGGAGGTAAGGCTTCCGTCGAGTACTAGCTAGCTACAGAGGGAAAATCAATCGATGAGGTTGTGGAGTTACATGGATTGAGAGAGATCGGTAGGACATGTGCTACACTTGCCTAGTTTAGCCTAGCCATCGATAGCCTTCCTTGACAAATGAAATAGTATCAATCAGGTTGGAGAAGAGATAGCGGTAGTCAGACCAAAACATGATTTCATCAGTCAACCAAATCCACAACAGTTAGTTCAAGCCAGCCAGCCAGTCAGACACGATGGGAGGGAGGTGTAGACTGCCTCACTGGCTGGTTGAGGTCCTGAGGATGGTGAAAACCAATGGAGGCAGCTGAAGACAATTAAAGATATGGCTCAAAGCCCTCGTTCTCAATGACAGTGCAGATGTATTCACTTTTTGTGATTCATCAGTCATATCCAATAAAACTCTATTGTTCCTCCATATAACTATTCTTTTTCCCTTACACTTCTGTTTATTACCTCTCTTTTGAATCTCATCTCTTCACTCTCTTCTTTTGCTTTCTATGCTACATGGAGGGAGAGTGGGAACTAGAACTGGTGCACATCTGTTGAGACCAGTCAGTCAGTCGTGAGTCAGAGTTATATTAATGAACCCTGATCATCATAATATATTTTATAATTTGTAAATAAATAAATATCACCATGGTTTTAGAGAATGGATACGCTTACATCATATAAACATTAAATAACGTACCTGCAACCACTGTATTTATGCATTCATATAAGAGGGACATTGCTGATGTACTACAAAAATAAGTGTAAAAACAAGAATTAATTTAATTACCTAAATGTGAATACTAATCATTTGATGTATACATTAGAATTTTTCAAAACAAAATAAATAAATAAATAAAACGGATATATTGTTAAAAAAGAAAAAAAAAACTATTAATGACACTGTTTCGTGACCAATTTTGCATACACTTTCTTAGTTGTTGGCCTGCTTAAAACTTGAACTATCGAAAACAACCTCCATCAATACAATATAAAGTGGCATATAAATTCTCTTATTCAATTTGTTTAAATCTAGTAAAATATGAACTCTGACAGTGTCGTTTAATCTTGAGAGCAATTAAAACATTTAAAACCTGCTGGTACGCAAGTTTCTATTAAACATGAGAAGAAGCATTATGCTCGATGGCATGATCATCCCAATACACACGATAACTGTTTCTGAGAAGTGTCCTTAATTCACAGAATGTACTCCTGAACTATTTATAAATGGCATTCAATCAAATTTCTTCATGTATTTCTCAAAGGAGGCAAAGAAGAGGTATCATAGTGGGTTGGTTTGTGCTTCAGGTCAGATAGAACTGTGTCACACCATCTACTGTCAATTAATCTCTTATTCAAAGATCCTGGAAGAAGGGAAAATATCATGCAATAAAGTCCACTGCAAATTCTGTAAATTATGTGAACATTATTATTTTTTGATCGGACACTAGTCAGTAAATAGTGCAATGTGTCTAGTCCTGTCTTTGGTGCAGACTGAATTAATCTATCAGTCAAGTTTACAATGTGGCTACCATGCCACTACTAGGTGGCTCGTCATTACAGTTCACCTTGAATTGTTGATATTAGATAGCTGGAGGCAATCGGAAGGAAGCCTTCTCTGATCTAGGTTTCGGGCTAGTTGGCACTCCCCAGTCAGCCAGGCGTATCTGCAGCCACCTAGAATGCTGGTCAAATTGCAAACTCGACTATTGAGAGAATTCAGTCTGAACCACCAACACTAAGGACCAGAAACATTACACTAGTTACTAACTAGTGTTCAATCAAAAATATTTAATACAGTCAGTTAGTCCTACAGGAGGACAGTCGCGAGGCCAAATAGCTCAGTAGTTACGTCTTTGACTGTGACTGCAGCACTGGGTGACGCCAGTTCGAATCTCAGAAGAGATATGAGTCCCTCCTAACAGGGCAGTTGCGGTTCCCCCTAGCTGACTGACTGGTGAGTGCTAACTAGTCTCCAACCATCTAATATGTCAACAATTCAGTGTACCGTGATGGCGAGCTAGCCACCTAGTCTCTCGCATGGTGGCCACATTTCAAACTTGACTGACGATAGAACTCAGTCTGCACCTAACAAAGGAGGACTAGACACACTATACCAGTCACTGACTAGTCACCAATCAAAGTAAATAATAAGTGTATACCCCCGTTATGATAACTGCCTGTATTATCATCAAAAAGGTGAAAGAACATTTTTTGATTGGCTATAGGATTTCATCATGAACTGATATCAGGTAGAGAACCACTGGAAAACCACCTCGGAGTACTGGATAGACGTTTCATCCCAGTTTGGGACTCTTCGGCAGCACACACCCACCGGGGTTCGAACCCAGGAACTTCTGGTTACAGGGTGAGCTAGTAAACCATTAAGCCACCAGAAGCCAAGTGCTCAATGACCAATCCATGACATAGCAAGACCACTTCGTAACTGTCCTCACCTTCAACCTGCGGTACTCAACTGGCCACGGCTTCTCACAAGAACTCCAGGTAACTGCCTGGATAGGACCAGTCGCTAGTGAGTTCTGATGAGCTCATGATAAAATCCTCTAACCAATCAACAAAAAAATCCCTACAAAACCAATATTTGAAAAAAAATGTTTACCCGCCCACCACACACACACACACACCTACACCTACCTGTGAATTAAATTGGTTAAAGGTCCAATTAACTTTTTACCTAATCTTGGTTCCAAAGGTGTTAACGTACCAAACTGTTTGATAGAAAGAGTAAATGTACACAAAATATAAGTGGATTATTTATCATGATTAGTAATCAATAGAAATGGATACGAAATGATAATGAAATAATCAATTTTGTAAAAAAAATAAACAAAGATACTTAGATGAAATAAACTGGATCAGGTGAAATAATCAGTTAATAATAGTAGCAGTAGTGAAATTTGTGCATGACTCAACTCCTTTCAATCCCTAAAGGCTATAAAACTCATTTACATTGAAGATACAGGTCTTTTACAGTTAATAATTTGATCTCAGATTACGATGTGACCACTAGAACATAAACTGTTTGATACACATCGTACATTTAAGCCATGTTTTAAACTTTATAACGATTAACCAACAAAAGAAATCTGATATACACGAGTTTTTCATGTCGTATGAGATTGAGATTTATCGATCAGGTTTTCAATTTGACCATAATAATCACTCGAAAATACCCATTGAGTGATGAAGAAAATAAAAGACAATGCAATGAAGTGAATTTTCTTTATCGATGAAATCATCTTCAAAGACTGTACATAGTCGTGTATATATTTACAAAAAATGTATATTATTCTGTTATTGAGTAATAGGGGGGGGGAGAGTTGACACAATTGATATGATGAATCAGAAGTGGCTTCAAAAGTAAAAAATAAAACCTGGGAGTACTGGGCAACTGTTTCGTCCAAGTTTGGGACTCTTCATCAGTACGCACACACCGGGGTTCGAACCCGGGAACTTCTGGTTACAAGGCGAGCTCGTAGACCATCGAGCCACTGGCCCATGAATTCTAACTTCTGCCAATTCACGACATAGCGCGACCATTTCGCAATGTCTTCTTCGATGAGCTACTGCCTCATCTTCAACCTGCTGTACCCAACTGGTCACGGCTTCCCAGTGAACATGTCACCAAAAAATTTCAGTACTTGCGCTGAAACACACTTCAAACTTTTTTTGTATTACTTTATGCAGTAATCTGAACATTGAAACAATAGAGAAGATTTGTAGCTCAGGTGGATGATTTTGAATTAGTTGTGTTCTCTGAGCTGGCTGGCGATTTAATCGCGAAAATTTCGTCATCCTCGTGGAAAACATCGCTTCAGTGCAGGTTTTAGTCTAAAATGAACTGATTTAAATTCTCCATGAATGGTAGTATTGTGTCTCCTGGCAACCATCTTTGTGACTGGTAGTCAATTTACATCTCTATTAACCATTTTCATTACTGACTTCGAATTCCAACTTTCTTGTCGTGTGATTTACTTTTTATCAATTGGTTAATTTGGTCTATAATAATGTTTGTCAATCGCTGGCTGATTAACTTGAGTACCAGGCTTCTAGAAATTCTCTGGAAGAATTTTTGGTGTTTTCTCTTTTTAAAATCTCTACATTATCCCAACCAAATTGGTGTCCATAATTAACTACATGCATTGATATGAAAGAATATATATATTATGCCTTTTTACAGATAATTCGTGTTCTTGGACTCGAACTCGAAGGGGATGTCCACTTTGACTGACGTTATGTCTGTTACAGTTCATAAAATGCAATTTATTTTGTAAATGGTATTAATTTTATCTTCTTTTCCTGTTGGATCTTTCAGTCCGCACAATATCGAATGAAGTGATTGTGTTGACCGGCTGACTTGTGTGCTATTTCAAACGGCTTTAATATTCTAGCTGTTATTTCAGAGATATTTTTTTATATATGGTAGAATGAATTTTCTTGTAGTCCTTGATGACGGTTTCTTGATGGTGTTATGACTCGAGTTTAAACACTTTTTAATGAAATTGTGAGGAGGACATCCATTTTTTTTTGAAGACGCTTAGTAGGTATTTTTCCTCCATTCTCTTCAACACCAAAGTGCTACAGTCTCGGGTTTGAACTCTTTTATACAATGTCTGCGCATACTTTCTTTTGTAGGTAAAAATGATCAATAGATATGTAGATCAACTCCCAGTCACAAAGATGGTTGCCAGGAGACACACAATTATATCATTCATGGAGAATTCGAATGAGTCAATTTTATACTAAAACCTGCGCTGAAGGGGGATGTTGTCCACAAGGATGATGAAAGTTTCGCAATTAAATCGCCAACCAGCTCAGAGAACACAACTAACTCAAAATGTGAACATTATCGATAATAGTTCATTGCATAGAAAATAGTATAGATATTCAAAATATTAATGCATGATAAACAATTATACTAATTTGTAAGAAGTCATACACTGTTATCGCAAAATTATCTTACCAGTTTAATAATTTTAATGAGAACCCAATTATTAGATGATGTTGTCATCAGTTTAAAAAATATAGGTGAAAGAGACAGGTAATTTTTCGGATTTTTACGAGCCAATTCGCATATAACATTGACAGCAGCTGATTGTACCCCTAAAATAAGTGAGAAATATTTTTATAAATGTAAAAATTAGACTGCAATAGGAAGAATCCAGTAAATCTGATTTGTTTACATTATTATTGCTTTCACAGCAAAAGATAGTCTCTTTCGGTTTATAAGGATATATATAGATAATGCATATAGTTTTATATTATGTTGGATGTTTTAGGAGAATAATGAGAAATTACAACAGATTTCCCCCGCCCCCCCCCGCCGCCTAAGTTGAAAAACATATTTCAAGCATACAAAAATCGAATAACTTTTTGTTGGATTTCATTATGAACTGATATCGGTTAGAGGACCGTTGGAAAACCACCTAGAATTACTGGATAGTACTGTTTCGTCCTAGTTTGGGACTCCCCAGTAGTACACACCCACTGAGGTTCAAACCCAAGACCTTCTGGTTACAAGGTGAGCTAGCTCGTAGACCATTAAGCCACGGGACCCGACCCAGTGGACAGTCGATGAATTCCAACTCCTGCTAATTCATGATATGGCGCAACCACTAGCGAATATCATCGCTGGCCAGTATATGTTCTCACACCCGATCTGCTGTACGCTACTGCTGACGACTTCCCACTAGAATCCAGGTAACCAGGGCCAGTTGCAAGTGAGCATCAGATTGATATTCAAATCCCTGCAAACCAACACTTGAATAAAAACAAAATTAACTGCTCCCGCAGATAAAATCGTATGTTATGAACAACAAGGCTACCAAACACAGGTATTGTTGAGCAAACATCTTCGTGGTTGAGAAAACCTCTAACAAAATCAGTAAGTATCATTTAGCTGATAGCCGTCATTAAGTGAACAAGAGAAGCGATTTCATGGTTACCGACTGTATCCCACCGAAATTTGGAAGCGAGGTTCGAATTTGTTTTCTGCTTAGATGAACTAATTAATGGAAACTCGGGGTGATAAACCTAGATTATGTATTTAAAATGAGTTTGTCCTACCTTTGTGTTCTTCTGGCGGTTACAGTAGATTTAATTCATCATTAAATCCTCTCAATCCTTTTTCACATTTTTTATATTTGTTTGACTGTGTATCTACTTCATCTTTGGCATTAGGTTCCAACCGAATTTAATTACTAAAGTGTCTATATGATCAAGTAGTCTCTTATTATTCTTATGGTCACAGGTGAACATATAGAAAACCAAGGTGATGAAGATTCCTGACCAACAGCAACACCAACAACAACAGACAACAATCAGCATAGATGGTAGGAATCTGAAAGAAACAACCTCCTTTACCTACCTACCTGGGATGCATCGTTTCAACTACAGGTAGACGGAACTGATGAGGATATCAAAGCGAGGATCGGGAAACCAAGGCAAGCTTTCATTACTCTCAAGTCTGTGTGGAGATCAACAGCACTGAGCATGAAAAATTAGATCCGGATTTTCAACTCTAATGTAAAGTCAGTGCTACTATACGGATCAGAGATTTGGCGCGTCATAAAGAGCATCTCAAACAAACTGCAGACCTTCATTAACATCTGTCTTCGCTCAGTACTTAAGATTAGATGACCAGAAAAGATCAGCAACAAAGATCTCTGCGAACAAATCGACCCAGCAGGAACCAACTGTGCAACAAATATGCAGTAAGAAATGGAGGTGGATTTGCCATACTCTGAGAAAACCATCAAATGACATCACACACTAGGCTCTTTCGAGTGGAACCCGAATGGGAAGTGGCGAGTTGGTCATCAGTGCGAGGGTAACATGGAGGAGGTCATACGAAGAGGAGATGAAAGCATGTGGCAGACGTGGAGTCAGGTGAACCAAACACAATGAAGACGTGCGGCTGAAGCCCTATGTTTCTCCAGGAGCTAAAGGAGACAATAATAATAGTAATAATGGTCGCCAGCATCAACTAATTATATTTTTCTTATCACTGACATTATAATCATCGGCCCACTAGTCTTTGTCATTAGTCGAAATTTTATATATATTTAAATATGTATATCATGGTAAAGTCTGAAGACCTACATCAAAACAATATGGTTTGCTTGTAGCTTCACCTGACCTAAACAATAGGCATTTTTGATATAATAATCTCATTTAGACAACCTTGACTGAAGTGACCACACAAAAAAGACTTTCGGATATGTGCTTTACATAAAGTTTGTTAGATCAGATTAACTAACCTGGATCTGAATCATCAAGTTTATCTCTCAGCTGTGGGAAACATATGGGAAGTGCTTCTGGGTAATTCAGGAAGACCTTGTACAGTAATAATACAGCTTTCTTTCGTAAATACGGTTTAGGGGAATTCATCTTAGTGATACAAAGAAAACAAACAAAAACATAAAATCAATAAAGGATTTGATTAAGGTAGGACCAGCCAGTTTGACTGATAAATAACACTCGTATAAATTGACCATAGAGACGTACACTGAAAACAACCAAACTGGATTCTTTAACTAGTCTGTGAAAGCCTACATGAGAAGACATGCAGAACATTGGGTTTGTTTCTAACGATAACAAATAAGAAAATAAACAGCAAAATAGAAACTAGCACAGAAGTGATGTCATCTAGGATGTCATGCTTCTAGCAAACATGAATTTGGAGAACTGAAACAGAACAACAGCCATATAAACAAAAGTGATAAGAATGACGAATATATACCTGTTACCTTGTTTTAAATTAAACAACCAGTCAGTCAGTCAGTTAACCAAAAAAGACGGGCATCAAATCTTCGATGGATCACATCTGTCATACTCCAGCTAACACCGTTCGTCCAAGTAGATAGCAGCTTGATATGTACAACGCATAGCTCATACAACTCATTCTCTTTTATAAAATAACCTTTTGCAGTGTGAATTTTTACCCCACGCGAGCAATGCAACGATTAAAACATGTAACTATATTTTAACTTGTCTTTTAAGCAAATATGATTATTAAGTGAAACGACTAGTATGCATTGCATTCTTCATTCAACTGGTAGTCACAAGTGATACAGGGGCACAGGCTGTCAAATTAAACAAAATCTTACTCTGTCACTAATAATATATCCAACCCAGAATTGATTAGATTGCACTACATGATGAGATCGTATACCGTTCTGGTTTTGCAAAACCGCAAGTCGTTTATTCAACCTAGAAGTCAAGGTCAAATTACTTAGAAACATGACTATCACTCTAAGACTGTCAGGTCAAATCTAAGAGCTGCAAAAATGTGTGGAAAGAAAAGAGAACTTAGCACCACATAATTTACGATAACTGGTATTCTGCAATTTATAGCGCAACACAGATCGCACTAAACTGTGGCATCACTTGAACAGTAATCACACTACAAGCACAGCATGAAACAACTGATGTAGTGACACAAACGTGTACTCTTTAAACGTCTTCGATGAATCCGAAAAAAGCAATCAAAACACAACTTTTTAAGACATCCTGGTCCCTAACTCACATTAACTCAAACTGCAACTCCAAACGAATGCTACCGTAAGGTATTTAATATGAATCAATCGTTACTAGTACAACATATGCGTTGATAAGTTCCAATTGTAGATAACTGTGTATTTTAGGACCTATATCAATAATATTAAATGTGTGTAAACCACACTATCATAAATTTACTGTTTGACAAGACAAAAAAATGAGAGCGTGAAGCCCACATTACTAATAACATTTGAAACTTACTAGGCTTAGAATGTCAGGGTATAGGTCCGTTGCTAGATCTGAATTAATAAAACAAGCGACACCAGATAACGCGATCCCAGCGTCATACAAATTGGTGCTTGTTAAGTCCTACCAAATTCAGCTAAACGAAACGAGATTACCTTGCGAATAAGATTTGTAGCCAGCATGAGGACATCTGTGCCAGAATGGAAGTTTTGAGAAGCAGCCAAATAACCTATCCTTTTGAAAGTAAATTTCTGAGAACTCATAACTTCCACGATATTGAACACAGACCAGCTTATATCATAGCCAAGCATTTGTATCTGAATGTTTTCAGTACTAATTCTTCCAACCTACATAAATAAGTTTGCTTATGGCGTTTGCCTTGACAGAAAAAGAGCCTTGTTTCAGTTCATTTTTGATTTCATCCAGGCAGTCACCGATGTACTTATTCTGATATATACCTAGTTAGTACTTTCTGACTGAATTACCTCATCCACGCCATGTTTTCTAATCCCCCGAACAAGATCCTGCAAATTTTTGTCTAGCACCCTCTCAAGTCTCCCTTTAACAACAGAAAGTGCCATCCTTGGGAAATTACGTACAAATCAAGCGGCTACCTTAGAGTACAACATACAGTCGTTGCAATCTATACAAACGCAGTGATGCTGCATTAGCATCCTCTGTGACTGGCTTCGAAATAGATTGCCTTGAGGTTCCAAAAACGTAGTTTTTCGTATTTCTATATCATATCCATCGAATTGTTGTCTGTGGAAAGCGTTTTATAATCTGGAAGATGATTTGCATTAGTTACATTTGCAAATGCAATTTTAGTTAGTGATAGGATGACTGTAATGCAGTCATCCCATGAAGGTAATAGTGGAGGTAATAATAACCACTGCAATAATAAAACTATGACGGAAAGTGAAGACTGGGGTAGAGGAGCATGACATGATGAGAGGAAATGAAAAATAGAGGGAAATTAATAGGTTGTCACGCTGATGCGGTGAATAAAATCTTTGTGTTCACCACTGAGAAAGATAATATAAAATGGCTTTCGTTACAGACGATTGGGTCATTGAACTGAAAAAGCGGGACGTTTGATTCAAACTGACTCAGTTCGTCCGAAATTGGTGATATTTTTGCAAGTGTTTCCGCCTATATTCACCTATTGCTCTCTGATATATTTTCCTTGAAAATTGTGGGCCGAAATTCCAAGAACAATGTTTGTTGAAACGCAATTGTTATTGATAGCTATTCAAATTCGATTATTACTGCCTCACCACCCTCTAATACAGTATAGCGGTAAATAATTCCCCAAAATTATTGACCACAGCAATCATCATTCAGTATTGGATGCTGACCCCCACTGTTTCGGTCGACTTGTTTAGCTGAAGGCTTCCGGTCAAGCATCCTCGCCATATGGTACTCCGTCGTGTCACGTGCGTGCACGATCACTAGCCAGCTAAGCATTCACTTCAGCCCTCGATTTGGTCCCGAAATATATATCGTACTTTGGACAGCTAAATCTGGTCTTTTGCTTTGTCTTTGGTACTCGAAGAGCGAACACTATAGAAGTTGTTGGTAAAAGATCTTGCGTTAGTATACTCCGTACAATTCGTGAACGTCGATACCTCCAAAACAGTATCAACTGCATGCTAATAAGTATATATGGTAGTGGTCACAAATATGAAAAACTTCGATCTGTAGGACAGCAACATAAATTTTTGAAGGTCGAGAATTAAACACGAGCTCAGATCCTCAATATAAATCAATTAACTTAGAAAACATCAATGACTGCACAGGTCTAAATTATAAAGAAATGCTTTTACTCCTAACATCTAAAAGCCCGCTCAGCTTCTTGTCAAGATGCTACCCCATGGGCCTTACACAGATTCGTTAGACATTTTACAGCTCAGCATATCCTACAGGTTCTAATATTTCAAGATACTTCTCTCGGAAATGTCACTTATATCTATTTCACGACAATCATTATATCAAGTTACTATTATGCTCTATTTTATCTCAACTCCCTGCTGGGCCTTTCATAAGGCTACAATTTACTCATTTCATTCACATTCCTACCTCGCTGAAAGTCTGATTGCTTTGATGGAAAAAACACAACGACAACACCCATGTTTCAAAATAACTATATTTTCATCGAAAATGTCATAGTTTCCATGGTAGGACCAATATGGTTGGCATTAACACTGCAAATGTGTACTATCATTCCAAGTACTCTATAGCTTCTTCCTGTATTTATCTTGTAAATGTGCTTCCAATGATATGTTATCCATAGTTGCATTTTATACCATTTTGCGGCTTCCCAGGACGTCCTTCTCTTCCTGAAATAGCGTTCAATCACGTGGAGGCATAGCACTTACCCAAATATATGTTGTTTATCGGTTGGTCGTAACTAGTAGGAAAAGGAACAAGGTTTAGGTTTTCGCTCAACTTTGATGGTGACCTTAGTGAAGGGTTTACAATTCAAGATATACGGAAACCTGTTTTGGTTGCTTGTTCTATAGTTCAACAATTTGAACTTTTTATAAAGTATTAATTTGATACTTTACGACTTTACTTTATAACATAACTGATCGTGCCTGTAAAAATGGTATGCATTTCATGTAAGCTTAACCTTTCATTCGAAATATATGTTATTACTCAAACTACTAGCCCACCAAATGGCTCAAAATCAATGCTCACTCTTGTAATACAAATGGGAGATGTTCTGTTAAAGGACCTTTGTAATTTAGCTTTGCTTATGAGTGACATCCAAGGGCAAATAAATGAAATTCAGGCGAATCTAGGTCTATTTGACTCTATACCGCGGTCAGCTTAAAATATCACGAAAAACCGCCGTGATATTGAGCAAGTTAAATCTCCACTGCATGTAATTCAGGCAAAGCTTGAGGAATCAGGCAAATAAGCCTGCCTCTTGGAGAAACATTATGAAACTGTTTAAAATAATCCACATAAAGCGGAAAGCTTAACTGACTATCTATCCACCGAGGTGGTGAAGCGTATAGCTTCATCTCATCAAGCAATAGTTTACAATATACCAGACTCCACGTCCCTTAAAACTATCAAAAACAAAACCCTGAATTGTCATGACATGGTTAACGTGCTACGTGAATGCAAACTGCTTCGTAAAACGTCGACTCAGTCTAACTGTCTCGTAATTTTTAGGTCCGATAACTGTCTTTATTCTATTAGCTTTACTAGGTTTCAAGTCTGTTACAATAGACCAGGACAAAATATCTTGCCAACGCAGAAAGACGTGTAACAATAATTTTGTCACCTCTTCTGGCTTAAACTCACCTGAAGTGTATGGTGTAGTGGAACAGCCAGCTAGTAATGACAATAACACTGAGCGAACTGCACAACCTGCATGCTTCCCAGTACAACTGGTGACTGATTTAGATATCAGTATGCCTGCAACCCAATTTGAACGAGAGTTTTAAGCAGTCCTAAGAAAGGTTTGCCAAAACATAATGCTTTTCAGCATTCCGCATCTTCTGGATATACAGGGCTCGAAAATCACAGAGTCCTACAACGAAAGCAACTCCCCCACCATATTTTACTGGCCACAGAATCGACAACAGGACGCAGAGTGGTATTCTGAATAACACGTTGATGTATACATCTTACCATCGTGTGCCTCATAAACCACATCCTAGTCTAAACCATCACTATTCCGACATGCAGGAGCCCACAGTAAATTTTCTAGGAGTCCTGAATCACTAATAATTCAACAACAGAGGGCAAGACACGGAAGCCAAGGTATTTTTTCATTAATCAAACCGCTGTTTATATATATATATAGATAGATATATATAGATATATATACAGTTTATATTCGTTAACCAATCACTGACCTTGTGATTTTGGATTACTTTAAAAGACATGAAATGGAATGTTCAAATATACATAGTATTCTGATGCTATCTCACGATTGAGCTGTGCGAAAAGTATTCTGTCTCTAGCAACAGACAGAGCGTTCAAACAGATATGTTGTATTCTGTTCCTAATGCTTTATTGAACTGTGGGAATATGTGAGAATCATATTCCTTTGGAATACATTGTCTGTATTACACCACCACAGTACGACTCATGGCACCTAGGACTACCTCGTCACACTGTAACCACGATGTATAGACACCCATTTCGACCCACCTTTCACCCATAAACTCTTCCGTTACTAACGCATGTATAGAATCAGGTCATGGTAATATTTTAAGCCAGTTTGTAATATCCCGCGACTTACGATATAATCAATTTATGCGCATCCCTTAATCAATAAGATATCTAATCTAAGAACATTAGTATTAGTCGCCACAGCTACCGCAGTTCTGAATCATGGCGCTCATCCCCTGCACTTGATGTACATTTAAGTATATGTGATTACACTCTACACCTTGCAAAGAGAGATTGCAAGCGTGGTGGGGGATGTCTCATATATACATATATATACATGACTCATTCGTAGTCGGTGAAGTGGAAGATGAAATGCTGAATGAGGTTTTTAATTCACTCCGGATCATCTTGCATGGAAATAAATACAAACCTCTCATGAGCTGTGTTTATAGAGCACCATGCTCAACCCAAGAAACTGGTGCGTTATTAGCTCAACCGTTTGCACACACCTCATTTAGTACTAATTGCAGGATAATTGCAGGGGACTTCATTCTTCCAAGCGTCAACTGTTTAAGTAGTTCCGTCCCCCAACGCTCTGACGAAATACCTGGCGCTGTTAATTGATTCGAATGAAAGCAACACGTCCAGACACCAACCCATGGTAACCAAATGTTGGACCCCGTGTACTGTCATGACACAATCTCTGTTTCCACCCATGTTTGTTAATAGATTTCTCTGTAGTTACCGTAGAATGGTAATCTAGTCTCTGCCAGTTTCACCAATAAATACATAAAACAAACAAGATTCGTGGAACATGATATGTCGCGGTTACAAGCATGTAGACGGAGGAACAGTTCAAGAAATCATTCAACCCCCTCAACGGGATGACTATTTTACCACTAACTCCCTGAAGGCTGCAGTTTCCCTATTCTATACGAATGTTACGCTGCGTCTAATTGCTGCTGCTCCTAGGAAGACAGTAAGATTAATTAAATAGCAAGCGAACACATTTCAAGAGAGTACCGCAATAAGTTAAGGAAGTTGTTGAGACGGTACTATTCCACTAGGGATAAACCACCACTTCACAGAATCCACC